CCCCCGCCCCTCCCCCTCCCCCAGATCCCTAGCATCGTGCCTGACAACAAGTGACGGAGAAGTGCCAAACGAGACTATTCCTAAGTTGCCCAACGATCAGTGCAAGGCTTACAACGGGCCGGAGTCCTTCACATGCAGGGTCAGTTCCGATTTTTGTAAGGGTTTTACGGCACTCGCAACACAAAAATAGGTCGTGTAAGAGCCAAAGATTTAAGGTGATACTAGGGTTAGAATCTTAATCAGAGTTTTACGGCACTTGCAACACAAAATAGGTCGTGTAAGAGCCAAAGATTTAAGGTGATGCTCTTATGCAGTTGCGAGCGCCGTAAAAACTCATACAAAGCGAACAACAGTAAGCTGATACAAGGGTTAGAATTTTAGTAAGAGTTTTACGGCGCTTGCAACACGAAATAGGTCGTGTAAGTGCCAAAGATTTAAGATGATATTAGGGTTAGAATCTTAATCAGAGTTTTACGGCACTTGCAACACAAAATAGGTCGTGTAAGAGCCAAAGATTTAAGGTGATATTAGGTTTAGAATCTTAATCAGAGTTTTACGGCACTTCCAGCACAGTTAGGTCATAATATAAGTGCCGAAAATATGTACTACAAGAGAGTAACTTGAGGAAAGGGGGAAACAAAATAGGTCATGAAATGCCGATGATTAAAGGTGTTACTAGATTTTCAGTTTTAGTCACGATCTTATAAGAGCCGAAGATTTATACATTTAGCAAGAGTTTTTACGACACTTGCAACACAAAATAGGTGTAAATTGTACCCCTTTGTCGTCAAAATAATTTTATCACACTGGCAGCAATATTCTAGGCCTATAGTTTCGTTTTGTGCCTCGGTGTCTCTCTATTCCTCTTTTCTTTTCCTCGTTATCTTTCCATCTGTGAGGTATCGTGGTGAGATCAGGCGCTTGTAAAAATAATGAACTCAAAGAAATCAGCATTTTATTGACCGATGGGTAATTTTCTTATTTTCTTTCTTTTTTGGGAGGGCTCAACACCTTTTGTATCCATTTAAAATCACTCTTTTTTGTGTGGATTTTACTGAAAAACATTTATTAAAGGCACACAAAATGTAAATTTCTAGTTTCTAAGGACACTCAGGCTATACAAGTCACCAAACTTTGGCGGCCATTTTCTCGCTAACTTTACCTCTGAAACCAGGCGACCCTGACCTCCTTCAATCACAAGTACATGTAATATTTTGACTTCTATTCAACATAGATGGATATTTTTTTCACCAAAAGCAAGGCAAATGAACGGGCTTTAAGATGATACCAATAACTCCATATGCCCAAAACTTGACGAGAGCCTGATTCTACCACGTCGTGGCGCGTCTGTCTAGTCTATTCTCTTCCCTGTTCGCTTCTGTCTTTCTGGCGTGTTACGTAGTAAAGGGTGTCCACTAGACCGTCAGATTTCCAGCCATCCATTATTTTTCTTTTTTTTAAATCTGCCTATTCATCCACCGTCCATTTAATGTTCTTTCTTTTGATGCACCCATTAAACTCATTCGTTTTTCTATCCCCCTACCTACCCCTCCTCTCACACCTGCAACCAACCCCCATCTCTCTTCCCCCCACCACCCATCACGCCCACCCTCACCTCTTTACCCCTCCACCCTCCCCAAAAACACCCACAC